AAAAAAGTTCAAGAAAAAAGGAAAATGAATTAGAAGAAGAAGAAAAAGAAGAAGAAGAAGAAGAAGAAGAAGAAGAAGAAGAAGTAGAAGAAGAAGAAGAAGAAAATGAACAAGAATATTGAATGATTTCGTGTATAATAATACACGAGTTGAGTATCATAATGTTTATACTTGTAACGACATGACTACTTACATAATTTAATAAACGTTTAAATGAATGAGAAACGTAATTTTAAAAAACAAACAATAACGAAGAAGCATTTAGATTATACGTTCCGTGCTCGGAATTATTATCGAAAAACGCGAGTTTTAAATCTCGCTTACATTATTAAAAAAAAAAAAAAAGAAAAAAAAACACACAAGGAAAAAAAACGAAAATTATAATTTAATAATTTAAAAAATATTTAGACTTCATCCCCCTTCCCCGTACCCCATACCCTCTTCCTTTTTTATTGCGTTTACAATAGATTTGTTTGAAATAAATTAAAAAAAAATGTTCTTTTTGAAATAATCTTAAGAATTGCTAGTTATACTACTATGTATAATTATACAAATCAATAATCTACTTCGTATACTTAGTTTTATTTAAAAATATTTTAACGATAAAAGCTATATAGATAATTAATGATTAAAAATTTAACCCTTGTTTTCTTTTTGAATTAAATTTACTCTTTTTTTTTTTTTTTAATGATTTTGAATTCTTTTCGATAAAATATGAAATAAAATAGTAAATGAAAAATATAAGATTGAAATAAAAACAGTGGTGAAGTTAAAAAAATACATACACGTTTTACACACTATACACATACTTATATATGCATGTATATTTAATGAGACTATACATATATGTATATGTATATGTAAATAATTATCCGAACTTGCATTTATAATTTCGAGTATACGGAGCATCGGCGGTAACAATAAGTATAATATCGGGGGAAACAATACAATAATTTTTCATACTATTTTTACTTTTTACTACTATGATTGCATACTGCTGTATAATGTTATTCTTATTGTATACTATATATTTATAAACTTGCGTAATAAACACGCGTGAGCTCGTGCACACGGATTTATGTATGTGTGCTAAATTCCGATACACTACTAACACACACGTACACGTATTCCAAAGAAAGACTTTAGAACAAGAATAGGAGAAAGGATTAATTTAGATGAAGAACAACAAAATGTGTGAAGAATTTAAAAAGAAAAAAAAAAGAACAACTATTATAACATATAAGGAGAAATGAAAACGCGTAAAATTTTCAAATATTTAAAATGCCAAAGAAAATTATACTTATATGAAAAAAAATAAAAAAGAGAAAAGAAAAAAAAATAACAAAAACATTTACATACACATTTAACTGTTCTACTATAGTTTATAATTAACTATAGCGATCTAGCGAAATATTTCAATTCGCTCGAGTTAATTCTGATGTATAAAATTATTATTATTATTAATTATTCAATTAATTAAAACAATTGTCGTGAAGAAAGAAAAAAAGAAAAAAAAACATTCAATTAATCGGAAAACGTGTGTAAAAGAAAAATGTGTTTTTGAAGTGAAAACTTTTTATTAGTAGAACGTTTTTCTTCTTGCGTATTTCGAAACTAAAAAGTATGTGCTGCTACGCGAATCTGTGTACGTTTGTATGTATGTATGTATGTGTGCATACAAATGAGATAAACAAAAAAAAAATAAAAAAAAAGATAGAAATAATCTTATTGCACATTTCACGTGTCAATGTATGCGCGCGTCTTCTTTACGTATGTGTACGTTACGTCTGTGTGTATGATGTGTATGCGAATGAATGAACGAATGAAAGAGAAAGATAAACGAAAAAAAGAAAAAAAAAAACAAAAACAAATAAACTTAAAATAATGCGCGTTAATTCTCGACACCCGAAAAAACATTGTCGCGAAAGAAACGAATGAAAATAAGTAAAAAAATAATAAATAAATAAATAATAATAATAATAATAATAATAATAATAATAATAATAATAATAATAATAATAATAATATAATAATAATATAATAATAATAATAATAATAATAATAATAATAATAATAATAATAACAATAATAATAATAACAATAATAATAATAATAACAATAATAATAATAATAATAATAATGATGATGATGAAGATGAAAATGATGATGATAATTAAAAATGATACGAAAAAGAAAGGAAACCGAAAATAAAATGAAATGAAATGAAATGAAGTGAAGTGAAAGAAATGAATAAATAATAGGAGAAGGGGTATAACTATCTGTAGAAATGTTTCAGGATTCTTTACTAAAAAAAATGATCGAAGAATTATTATAAATCATTTTGCTCGTAACCGAGCGAATTAAACGGGACGGTGCGTTTGGTCCATTTCAAATAAAACGTTTCGTAATATTTAAAAGAACGTCGATCGTCTCGAATGATAGGGGAGAAATGGTTGGGCGTTAACCTACCGAGTTTGCTATAAAACGTGAAAATGTATATTTTTCTTATTATTTTTTATTATCTAAGATCTCTTATCTCGAGAATTTCTTTTCTTTTTTTTATTAATTTAATTTAAGAACATTACGACTTTATTTTTTACATTACATTATTATTTAACATTACGAACATTAAGAATTTAAGAACATACGACACAAACGAGATGGTAGATCAGTTTTTATATTGTTTATCTTATTTATAATTTAAAACTAATAAAAAATATTATATCGCGCGTAAGATTATAATTAAATTAATATACAAATTTTATTCGTATATTTATTAAATTTATACAAGATATAAATTATTGGAAAATAAATTATTTCACGTTTTATTATTTCTAATTGTTAAAAATTAATTTTCGTTGAGATCGATAAATTGTGTATCTATATAGAAAAAAATAAAAATAAAAGAAAAAATATATAAACAAAATATATCCACGTGTTAGAAAAATATGTATATTAAAATAAATTAATTAAGACTTGTTTCATAGATCATAATGATCATAATATGATATAATATAATCATAAATGATCTCGTATAAGATCATTTTGAGACGATCGAAAAATAAAAAGAAACGAAAAAAGAATTGGAACAAAAACAAAATGGTTAACAAATTATTGCGTTTTTTTTATCGACAAGGAAAGTTTTACGATTACTATCTTTCGTGTGCTTACGTATGCGTATGTATATGTATTTAATGTATGTGCATATGTGTGTGTACGTATGCAACGAAAAAGATCGAAAGAAGGGAAAAATTGATCGATAATAAAAACGTGTAAGTAGGCTCAGGTGGTTACGAGCAAAGGGGATGAATGGATGGTTGGTTGAATGGATGGATGGATGGTTCGGGAAACTTCGAGATACCGCTTGATAATTTCAGTGCTAATAAAAAGTAAGCGAGATAAAAAGGAAAGATATAATAATAATAATTAACAGAAAAATACAAAAATAATAAGGAAAAGGAAAAAAAAAATTAAAAAAAAAAAGAACACTAATTATATCTATGAATATCCTATTATATACCCGAAAAGCTAAACGAAAGGAAGAAAAAAAAGAAAAAAAGATAACCCAAAAAAAAAAAATAAAAAAGAACGAAATAAAGTAAAGTAAAGTAAAGTAAAATAAAATAAAAAATAAAATAAAAAATAAAATAAAATAAGATTAATAATAAAAAATAAAAATAAAATGGAGGTAACTAAAAAGCATTGTAATCTATTAGAGGCAAAGAAAAAGTAAAAAAAAAAAAAAAGAAAAAAAATGAAATAGAGAAGCCCCTAATCTTGTATGGTTTAGTTCGACCACTGATTTGTCCGTGTGTGTTCGTTACTGAAATATGTTTCTTTAGTAAAAAAATGTTGAAAAATTTATCATGCCTTTTATTAATGCCCATTATTATAATTTTAATTTCTTTTTTATAGGTTAACAAGATCTTCCCCCTCTCCCTCTTTTTTTCATTTATATTCATTATTTTTCTTAGGATAAATTTTACAAAGTAATATTAAAAGAATAACGAAGGTCCATTGCATTTTTGTTTTTATTTCTAATTACGTGTAGAATAAAAAGTAGGAAAAAAAATTATTGTATGATAACAAATTAAAAATCACGTAGTTCGATTTTACGAATCGAATTGCAAACGATCGAACGGAATAAAATTGGTCTATATTTTTTTTTAAATGAAAAAAAAAGGATATTTACTTTTTTTATTAGATTAAAACTGGAATTTTTTAGAAATCAAAAGACAAATAATATATTTAGATAAATATAATAATATACACTAGAGTAGTGTAAAGAAAGATAAATCAGAGGAAGAAGAAACTTGGGGGAAGAGCTTGGAAAGTAAGGGTGGTAGTGGTGATGGTATGGTGATGGTGATGTAGGTGGTGTTGATGGTGGGGGGAGTTTTAGTCTCGAAGCATTGGTTTGTAAGTAGAATGCTGAGCGTCACAGCTCAGTTCGTTTGCGACGTTCGTGTCGTACACGTCACGTAAATACATTTAATATTATTATTATTATCCGTGTTTGATGGTTGTGTTGTTGTTATTGTTGTTGTAGTGGTAGTGTTGTGTTGTTGATTTTTTTTTCTGAGTTTACAGTTCGACCGTTGGAAGAGCAAGTCAGAGTTTGTCATATCACTTTGAAATAATTTCGTTAATTTTGTGTCATACTTTTACGTGAATATAAATGAAACTCGACCAATAAAGTGGATATTAAATAATGATCAAATAAAAATTTAATTTATGAGTGATCGATAATTAAAAAATAATCAAAATTCTTCTACAACGTACGGAGGAATAATAATTTATTAATTTACGGATTAAAAACAATAGGTTTTTTTTACTTTTGCTTTTTTTTTAATGTAATTAAAAAATATCTAAAAATATGAGTGATTATAATGATGATAATAATAATAATAATTTGTTAAGATTAAGACAATTGACATTTATCGATTTAAATTTAATAATTTAAATTTGAAACGAACGGTTTAGAGTTTTCGTGATCTAAAACTATTCGCCATACATTTAATTTGAATTTACATTTAAACATATAAATAAATCAATTCAAATCAAAATCAGATATCGAGTGCGCGTAAGTTCATAAAGACGATCTAATAGTTTCGATAGATCGATTCTCGCGGATAAACCGTGGGAAATGTTCGAAGGTGAGAAGAAAGATCGAAGAAGTAAGAACGAAGTGGATCGAGGATCAACTTGGTTCTATGTGGATAGAAAAAAATCTTGGAAGAAGACTAGGATAGGATTAGAATAATAGAAAACGATACGAGAAACGTATAGATATAAAAAAAAAAAAAATTACAAAAGAAAGATCGTCCAAATTATAAGGAAAAATAAAAAGATATCGAGGAAACACATAGGATTTGATTTGTGTTTTTTTTTTGTTTTCGTTGTACCTGTTTCGTTCGGTTCGGTTTTCTTTTTTCTTTCTTTTTATTTGTTTTACATTATGGCGTCGAGATCATCGACCTTTTCCTGGATGCTACGATTTCTTTTGCTGTCGTCCTTCGTCTTATGGGATCCAACGATAGCCCGTGGTTCTAAACGTGGACTTAAAAATGGTAAGACTTTATAATGTTAATTATTTTTAAAGGGGGAGAGAAAGGTGAAGAGGATCACGAGAACAAAATTTTTCATTGCAATAATACAGATAATAATTTATTATCTGTTATTATTTTTCAGTGTAAATGTATTTTATTTTTTTTTTTACGTCTGTTATTATAGGTTTCATCGAAGTATACTAATTTGACAAATAATATAACATATTTATTCGTTGATTTATTGATCTTTTTAAGATTCTCATTTGTTTAGAAATTAATTATTATTATTTTATCTAATTAATATAATCGATAATAATATTATTTCTCCTAGAAAAAAAAATTGCAATTATAATACAAAAATCCTAATAAAAACGTAGTATACTTGGAAGAATATTTTCCTTATTATTAATTAGAACAAAAAAAAGGAAAAAAATTATTTAAAAATAATTACAAAATTAATTGGAACCATAGGTAAAATGTTTTTCTTATTTCTTCCACTTTATATGAAATATGTGTAACGCGTGTGGTCCAGAAACAAATCGTAACACATATGAACACGCGAGCACACACGAGGAAAAGAAATAAAAAGAAAAATAGATGGGTAAAATTTTTCACGTATTCGTAAGACCCAGAGAAGGTCGACCTCGTAAAAGATTTCTACTTTTCTTTCTTATTTCTTTCTTTCTCTTTCTATCTCTCTTTCTTTTTCTTTTTCTTTCTTTCTTTCTCTTTCTGTCCAAGAATATTAAGTGTCAGGAGGAACATTCTGCACCTCCCGGGTTCTTAAAGCTTTATATTTAGCAACGAATGTTCCCTTTACTATTTTATTTTGATTCTATTTGTCTCCTTCTCTGTCTCATGTGGATTAGTATTATATATACTTATAAATATATATATGTATATACACACTTACAAAACAGGGTGCAATATACGCGTTATACTAGTGTGCAAGGAAAACCCTACAGTGTAAACGTCACCCTTTTACGCCTTGCCCAATAGGAGGACACGATCAAAGGCATTCTCTCTGACCATCGATTCTTTATCTCTTCTTCTCTCTCATACTAATTCATATAAATCTATCCTTTTCTATCTTAAACATATTTCACACACCACAAGAAAGGGTGGGCGCTAAACGTGTTTAACGATTTTTTATCCCTTTAAGGGTCAGTGATTTTAACCATTTTACGTTTTAATTATATTACTAATTTAAGATTTCAATTGTTTCATCATTTATTTAAATGTTGGTAAATATTCTTTTTTTCTATTGGTCAATAAATGCATTTGGTTATTTTTTTTTTTTTTGAATAAATAAATAAATGGTCAATGTATATATATTACACACGAATTTATTGAACATAATAAATAATTCTTGCTGACGGGACACATTAACATGAACATGATACATTACTATGATAACTGTGATGTATATGTGTATTGAAAAGTATTTTATCCATTCTATCCCATTTTTTTCATCTCATATATTCACATATAAACCACATACTTACTAAGAAGGAAATTTATTAGCAGATTTACATTATTTTATTTATTATAAATATTTATGAATATTTTTAAATTCGTTATGAAGTATGTTTCATTTTTTTTCATCTAAATGTATGTCTTCATCTCATATCTTATACGATTATGGTTCCCCATAATTTAAGGATCAATATAATTTTCTTTTATAGCTGCTCAAGATTATATTGGGAAACTTAATTTAAGAAAACACCATTTGAAATTTGTGTGTATGTTAAATGAATTTACTAATATAAATCAAAATAAAAAAAAATTCTAGATATTATATAATCCAACTAATTTTTCAAAATTGGATTTTCGAGATATACCGTAAACCATTAAAAGCTACACATAGTATTTTTTTATTTTTTTTTGTCATCAACACATCTTTTTACTTTACTGTTACCACGATCCTATCATTTTTCTCATACCTGACAAACTTGAATGTAATTATTTCAATATTTTATTACCACGGAATTATGTTGTTACGTTTACATACCTCGTTATACATTTCGTAATAATTATCCGTTTCAATGTAAATAAAATATTTTGTTTATAGTGTTTACCGCGTAAGTTCTATTTTCATTCGGTCAACTTTCTAATGACATTATTCGCCAATTTGTTATACATTTTTTTTTCTCTCTTCTTTTTTCTTTTTGGTTTTGTTTCAAATGAATCGATTCGTCTGCTAAAAAAAAAAGAAAAGATTCGCGTTCGGTACGTTTAACGCGATTACGTTAATTATTTACGTTTAAGTATAACTATTAAAAGTTAGCCGTTCCCTGTAAGTAATTAAATTAATTATCTATCTTTCTCTTTCTGACACAGAGAACTACCATTCACCAATGACCGTTTAGATAGAAAACAAGTATATAGATCTAAACGTTTGCGCAAAACTTACTTATTTACTTACTTATTTGCTTGCTTGTTTGAATTTTATGCCGATAGATTATACAACGAGTTTCCTTCATCCATTCTTAATGGGATTTTATCTGTCCTTTTCTTTAATGTCAAATAAGATACTTCATTCTTTGATTTAAAAAAAAAAAAGATACTTTACTCAGTAATCTTTTTGTTTGTTGTTTTTGGTTTCTATCAAATAAAAGTAATCGTTTGTATTATATTATTTCATACACTTCGATAAGATTTAAGAAATTTTCTTTGAAATATTTTATTATGCACGATTAATGATTGTTACGTAGATGTGAAACGTTTGAAATTTTTATTAAAATCGGACAACTCAAAAAAAAAAATAAAAAGAAATACAATTATTGTAATACAAAATTGTCGGTCTTAAATATTAAAAATTAAAAATAAAATTAAGGATACGCGATTGATATTAAGATTTAAATTATACATGCATTTCATACGAAATTAGGTATCAATAATTAATTACAAATTTATATCAAATGTGATAGATTTATTTTGTTATATATTTTTAAACCATTGCTTGTACTATGAATCATGTTTGCTTTGTTGTTTTAATAATGTTATTTTTGTGAAATAATTTTCTTTCTTTTAAATGTTTTTTTAATGTTCGATTAGATAGGGGTCTAGGTTAACTTCCGATACGAATTATTCTACATATAGTTCCTGAATAACTTGGTAAACAAGATACGAGAGAATGAAATTGGATTAAGGCCATTGAATATGCCAATCGTCTTAGTTACTTACTTTTACGTCCTTTTGTTTCTTCTCGGTAGCTTTTATTGCGATGAGTTGTCCATGTGTCTTTTGAATTATCTTCTCTTAGAACCTTAACGTTGTTCATTAATTCAAATGCTGCATTTTGCTTCTTTTTTATTTTTTTAATAAAGTAAATTGTGTGTTACACCAATATTATTTTATTCGATTACAATGATGATAATTTAGAACGAATTTGAATATTTTAATTAGTATTAATATTTAAATAGTTTTTTTATCATAAATTATTTTTCTAATCATTTAACGTATTAAATAATATTTTAATTTTTATATCGTATTGGAAAAACATTGTAGCTAATTTATTTTAATACAAACATTTGAATTTACTTATCTTTTATTTCAAACGTTTATTTATTTAATTTATTAGCAATATTTCAAAAAAAAAAAAAAAAGAAACAATTTTATTTCCATACACGTTAAATTCGTCGAATAATTTGTTCTAAAAAGAAAAAAAAGAAAACTATAAATGAACGAGCATGTAAGAAATCACGTTTATTACATTCTCATTTTTTCTGGAATTAAATTTCTCTACGAATAGTTACAAAATCCTCGACTACACACAAAATTAATTATTTATCATGATGAGAATGAGAATATAGTAAATAAAGGGATTAAGTTTAGACGAATAGGATGGTATCATTTAAAATAGCAGACAGACGGTAGACGCACACGGTCTTCCTCGCATTAATTCTAAGTCAAGCTGCTAATCGTTCGTTCTACGAGACTTACAGATTCAGACTCGGAGTCAGAGTTACAGTCACAAGAAGAAGATAGAAGAAGATAAATAAGAATAAGAAGAATAAAAGGAAGAAGAAGAAGTAGAAGAAGAAGAAGTAGAAGAAGAAGAAGAAGTAGAAGAAGAAGAAGGCGAGAAAATGTTGAAGGATGAACAAGCGTCACGCGTGTCTGCCACGCGACGAAAATAATCGTTCGTTTCTCTTCCATTCGGGGATTTAACACGCGTGTTTACGTTTATCAGAATGTATAAAGAGAGAGAGAGAGAGAGAGAGAGAGAGAGAGAGAGAGAGATGGTTCTGTCCTTTCGTGGCGTCCAGAAACCGGATGATTTATGATATTCGCTATCCCGTCGTGTGCATTTCGTGGCCCATGTGATGATTCGTCTTTATGGGCGCCCACCATCATCGTGACGTCTTCATTTTTTTCAATACATGATCCCATGCACCATTGGTTGTTTTTATATATGTATATATATATATAATGGATGTTCTTCAATGTTATGTGTAATAAAATATTTGTATTTTGGTTTATTTTTTGTAATACTAATACTATTACTACTATTACTACAATTGACTTATGATACATTAAAATTTGATATAATTAAATTATTATGATATGTTTTTTTTTTAAATTATTATGATATGTATTTTATATGTTTTTTTTTTTTTTAATTTTTCTATTTAGATGTGTGAGGAAATTTATATTGCTTAGTTTAATTTGTGTGTATAATTTCATTTGTATGTATTATAATAATTTTTGTTTTTTTCTTTTTTTTTTATTTAAACTCATGTTATACAATTAACATTGATATCTAATTGTAAGTCAAAATCATATTTTTTAGTTTAATTAATATGTAAAATTAATATTGATTTCATTTTAAATTTTTATTCAATAGCACGCACCCGATTTATTGTTATGAAGAATTTTAATTTAATTTTTGTTGTTATTAATGATTTATGAAATGTTCGAGAGATAATAATAAGTTAATTTGACGTATGGATAATAAAAATAAATGAAGAAACAAATTTAAAATGTATAATCGGTTAACGCCTTGTCAATCTTGAACG